TTACCAAGAATACCTTTCCCTCAATCTTCTCTCACTTCCTATTTTCCTATAAATGGAGCCTTCTGCACTCCTACTCTTCAATAGGTTAACTCCTTCAAATATCTATTTCTCACATAGCCCTAGCACCANCCCCCCTCCCCCCAAACCCTAATTTTTTTATTTTTCTTGGTCCTGTCTGAGAAATTAAATGGGTACTGGAAAACGTAAATTTAGGGTAAGGAGTATAGAGGAAGTGGGCAAAAAAGGGTGACAATTGTTGACAGAAGATAGAGAGCACTAATGATGATATGCTAAGTAAATGTAGGGGCAAAAGCATCTCAATTCATTTGTGCTCTCTATGCTTCTGTCATCACCTTCGGCCAACTATCCCTCTCTTCTCTTAACTTCATTTAATTTTCATCTTTTCATTCTATTATTTTCTTGAAATTTATTTCATATTTTGTATATGTATTTTATGTACATAGTCAAATTCTATATGTTTCTCATCCCATGACATATTTCTTTGATCTGCTAGTATATAGGTTCTCATTTTCTGGAATTTCTCTAAGATGAAAGCAAAAATTCTATAAAAATGAAAGATTTTGAAATCTATTTGCATGATTTACATAATTGAAGAGTCCTTTTGTTAGAAGTAAGATCTGAAAGTGAAAGTTATTGCTCATGATTTACCATAATTCAATTGTTTATATATTTTTCTCTCTATATTTCACCAGATTATTGACTTTCTAACTGTTTGATTAATTCTTGAATTCTATACTTGCTCTATCTTGTGAGTTCACCTATGCTTTTGCAGCTATTTCTAGATCCAAAAATCCTCCTTTGCCAAGCTATCAAAGGACACTTCTGAGGAATAAGATGTTAATTAAGCTACATTTACATGTAAACCCTCTACTCTTTCTCACTTTTGTAATAGTTCAAGTTATAATCAAAATCTAATGTTATATATATGTGTGTGTGAGAGAGAGAGATAAGCCAGGAAGTTCATCAAATAGACTTAACAAACTATTGTCTATTAAATTAAGCTTTTTACTTATCTGCATTTAGAGTTTAATTAGAGAGACTAATTATCCACTACCTATCGACTCTATTAAAGTACTACTTTTTTATGTCTTTGATAGATATGTTTCCTAAAGTAATAGGCACTACTGGTCCTATGGCATATGATAATGGACTTTGTAAGGCTAAAACATCATGTGATGTTTAAGGATTTAATGTATTCACATGTTTGTTATAGGCATCCAAACATTAAAGGTTTAACCAAACAAAAATCTGGTGAGACAAATGAAAAGCCGATCAATCAGAGGATTTGTTAAATATATAGTCTTTAGAAAAGCATGAAAGTAACAAAATTAAATGGAAAACAATAAGGCTTAATATCTGGACAATTAGTAAATAGAGTAGAAGTAAAAGAAGCTAGGTACGTACACATGATAATTTTATGCTTAATTATCATCACATGTAAACTATTTTCTTCATATTTTACAGCAAGTTACTTGTGTGTTGTTGAAATAAAAAAGTACTCCTAAAGAAAATTAAACTGAAGTAAGAAATTAAAGAGCATAAGACATCAACATATTTCCATCCAGAAGTTAAAAACAATGACAAATTTTCCCTTTCTGTCTATTCAGATAGTAATGTCAAAGAAAACTGTGACTTATAGAGTGGTTTATTTAGCAAAATAGATGGGAAAAAGCTAACTATTTGAACTTCTTTACCACTCATATAAGTGGAGCTAACACAGAAACTGGTTTGAGTTCTTTACTACTCATATAATTGGGAGCTAATAGAAGCTGGTTGGAGTTCTTTTACTACTCGTATAATTGGAGCTGAAATACAAGTTGGTTTGACAGAAAGCATATATAATACTAAATGTTTGATTCTTGGGCAAAATAGAAGCTGGTTCGAGTTCTTTACCACGCATGAAGGTGTCCCGTGCAGCTAAACTAGTTATACTCTTGGGCAAAGTTTACATACAAATTCCATCCTTAAACCTGTGTTTTAGTTTAGTTTCTATTGTTGCTTTTCATTTTCTTGAGCTGATGGTCTATTGGAAACAGCCTCTTTACCCGTACAAGATAGGGGTAAGGTCTGTGTACACACTACTCCTCTCCAAGTCTCTTTTTTCATTTTATTGGGATAAAAGATAGGTTAGTTGTTTTATTTCTCATCATTCTAATCAACACTAAAGTTGTGATATTATGTACCTTTGTTCATCTTTCCAACAAACCCCCATAATATACATAGGGGAGCTGTACATTATTGGAGCTATATATAGTAAGGGACTCCTGATGAAGTGAATATTATTTCTGAAAGAATACTTGGATGGAGCATTTCAATTGATAATCCAATTTTGACAAATGAAGAACCCTCATTACATATTGTCTTAAAACAGTTCAGCTCTTGCTGAAATCCAGTGTTCAATGTTTTTAGGGTTCATTAAATTCAACTCAATATTCAACCAAGTGCACCATTCAATCTTTTTGGAGCAGAGATCCCAACAGATAATATTAGACTAATTCTAGAAAATACGTGTATAAAATACCCAATTTAAGGTTGAGACTATGGTTCACGTGTCCCATTTTCTGTTGGAGCAGGAGTCCCAATAGATAATATTAGACTATCCCACTTTATAGATGTGTGCAAAGATAGCTATGAGATAAATAAGGTAAATGCAGAATTAAGCTGAGAGTCCTATTACATACATATATATGGTCAAAGCTAAATGAATTTGAAGCATTTACTTTTCAATATCTATATATACTATTGGTGATGAGTCTCTTGTGTACATTTGGATTGCACGTCACAAGCCGATGTACTCTCACACTCTATGTCAATTATTAATTAGACAAAGATAATATATATGTTTAAGAAAGCATGAAAACTCAAGATATTCCAATTGAATGATTAAAAAACTAGGGGGGAAATTCTCCCATGGAGAATGAAGGAGAAGGTTAAAATTGTAACAAAAAAACTAATGTTTGCTATACACCCTATTGGGTAAAGATTTGTTTTTGCACAGTGGCATAGGAAAAAATTTCATTACACTATTACTAGTATTATATAACTTAAATCCTATTGAATTCAGCCCACATCATCATTGAGTGGATATTAATTCTTTATTAATAAGATGTGGAAAAAATGCATGTGTGTATTAGAAAAAGAATTCTTATCGGCTATTGGCCAAACATTTGGGAGCAACTAGACAAAATGGTCTTTCCAAGATTAATTAGAAGACTAAATTTGACATATTCCTAAAGTTATTATTACCTCCCAACACATAGCTTATGATTGGCTTGCTCTCCATATATATTGGAGAACAAAGTTTTGTCAAATTGAATTGTGTCACTTTATTTTATTTATCTATAATAAAAGGGCAAAAGAGTCGTAATCCTGTTAACCCTGCATAAGTACCCCATTCACATATCTAGTGATTTCCATTCTAAATTCAGATCCTTTATGCTATATGGACAATCGGATGGTTTTGTGCTGCCAATTGATTAGGATTTATTCATCACATTCTAATACCACGAGCTAGGTTCTTTAACTTTTTATTTTATTTTATTTTTTATTTTATGGAGTAATATTTCCTTTCAACTTGTGTTGCTGTTTCTTTTTATATCTTTTTTAAGACGATGGTCTATTAAAAATAGTCTCTTTACCCTGTACAATATAGGAATAAAGTCTGTGTGCCCACTACCCTCTCGATATCCCACTTGTGGAATTATTTTGAGATGTTGTTGTTGTTGGAGTAATATTTCCTTGTTTTGATAGTAGTATTAGATTTGGGAATATTGTTGTCTGGTTTTGGTAAAATTTTTAAAATTTCTCCATATTTGAAAAGACATGAGTACAATATGCGCCGACACAGCAAATCAAACTAGTACAAGAGGGAGAATTTCATGTCCATGTCATGTGGTTAGCCAATCAGTAGCCGAAAGCTGTAACCATGGATTATGACATCTCATCGAATAACATTATCACTAACCTTCATTTGTAATTGTCTCTAAATAACGTACATCTCCCTACTTATCTTATTAATGATCTCATTTGAGGATGAATATCAGATACTCCATGATTCAATTTATATAAACCTATTTCTTTTTTGGTTCGTTTAATTAGAAAAAAATTCCTTTTTAAAATTGGATACAATTTAACTTTAACTTTTCATTTTATCTTTGATATAGCCCAAACTTTACCGGGAATGTTATGAAAATATTCCCTTAGTAAGAAGCTTTTATAATCAAATAGATATTAGTATATATGACATATTTAAAAAATCACAAGTTTCAAATTTTTTTATTTTTTATTTCTCCATCGGTATTTGGTACCCACATTGGGCCTCGACTAATCCGGATTGGAAGTCCCACATTGGGGGTAAAGCGCTCCCTAAAAAAGGTGACTACATACCCAAAGGTTCGAACTCGAGACCTCTGGTTAAGGAGGAAGGAGTACTTACCACTCCACCACAACCCTTGTAGGTAAGCTTCAAAATTCTTACAGCTACATATGTTATGACACATTTAATATTACAAGTTTTAAAGCTTTGAAAATTTCTGGTGAAAGAAGGATCGTGCATCTGTCTCTCTTAACCACGTTTTGTTTGATGGCCGTCAATGAATATATTTTGCTTCAAGATTTATATCTTACTTTAGTATCTTATTACATCTTCCTAAACTGGATGCATGCATATGTTAAGTGTAGCCGTAATAACTAGATTCAAGATTATCACAATTTTGATCTAGATTCACTTCTACTGTGTAAGTGTAGCCAGAGAAGTTTGTACTAATATCCTGTTAACGGCTGTGATGTGACAGTAAGAATATATAATCTTGTCAAAACTTTAGCATCGAGTCTTTGATATATTAAAATTAGAACTCGAGAAAAAAAGCTGTACCCATTTCAAGGAAACAACTAAACACACAACACACGCATACAGATAAAGAAAAAAAAAATGGAGGAAGAATCTGCATAATTATTTCAAGGAAGGGAAAGTTTCTTACCAGATGAAGAGTGGTGAAATTAACCTTCAGAAGGGAGAAAAAGCTTGGTTTGCTTATTTTCAGTCAACATTTACCATTCATCTTTTTTGTTCTTTTTCATCTCCGCAATGACAGCTGCTGAACATATTCTTGATAATATTTGAGGTTAGAGCAGGCCGGTGAAGACGGAAAAAAGCAAAAGCCAAGTGAAAGTCTGAAAAACTCAATTGAAATGTCAGAATCTAAAAAATTGGCGGAATGTTAGTCGGTCCATTTGTGTGGACAGGAATTTATGTAGTGGCTGTCTTACTTTCAAGCTGTAACTAGTGATTAATAAAGTGATAAAATTTATGAGATTAATTCAAACTTTAACAGAAATAAAGAAAGTTAATGCACTGATTTCTTTTTCGCGTATGCCCACTTAAATTCTGATAGGCGGAATTATTGAGTAATTGGATATTTTAAAACGGACTAAATCGATCGAATCGTACAGTATCAAATTGATTTTTAGGCTTCTTTTAATAAAATAGTAAGTTAGCATATAAATTTATAACCGTACCGATAATCAGGGTAGTTTTTTATTTTATGAAAATAAACTGAAAAAATACTGAACCATGCCGAATAAATTTACATAAAAAATATATTTATGCATTAAATTTTCCTTGGGCCTTGGAATTATGAAAATGGTTATAAGCAAAGAAGTAATTAAACTCAAAATCCTAAATTCCAAAACCATTATACTACTCCTATTGAAACTAAATTATTTCTAATATTTTTACTAGCAAGACACAAGGTATTGCAGCGATTATGAGTAGCAAACTACAATATATTGAATATGTTTCCTTTCGTATGATTTAAATTTATCTTTTCAAATTTTAATCTTGTATAGACTTTATTCTTGACTTCTAGCTTGCTTAATATCTTTCCACTCGTATGATTTTTAGTTTCTTTGTCTTTGCTTAGTTTTCTTTACGATGTTATAGAATAGTTGATGGATCTGTATTCTGGTCATATTTCACGTTTTCTTAATTCATCACCCTTTAAATAGTAAAAATGTCTAAAGAGTTTTGTTAAGTCCTATAAAAGTACATATGTTATTGCATTCTGGTTCTACAGCTGACTTTTAAACGACATTTAAAAACATACCGAAAATTAACCGAACCGAACCGATTCCGAAGAGAAACCGATATGATTGGTGTGGTTTCTAAAAGTCTAATTTTAGCTATACATAATATAGAATAACCGAAAAATTGGTATGGCATAAATTTTATAAAATAACTGTCCGAAGCGAACCATTGACTCCCCTACTTGTACCGATAACAATTACTCCCTCTGTCTTATATTAGCTGTCGTATTTTTCTTTTACACTCGTTAAGAAACATTAATTAGGAAATAGATTAGACTATTTTATCAATATTTATGTTTTAAGATAAAATCTCTTTTCATTGAATATTTATGTATTATTTCCATTTTTAAGAATAATTATTACTAAAGATAAAAAATAAAAAAAATAATTAATTTTATTTTAAACTTCTAAAATGACAAATAATATGAAACAATTAATTTTAGTAATTACGACTATTAAGATGCGATGGAGGGAGTAACATATACTTAATAAAATAAGCGAAATGTCCCGAATAAACTGAAGATTATATTAACAAAATGACAAATACTTATTAAATAACCGAAATGCACCCAAACTAACCTAACACCAAATTAATAAAAGAAATTCAGAATTAGTGTTAACATGTTAGGGAAGAGAGATCATGGAGATTTGTGCGAAAGGAAAAGAAAAAAGCAAAAAGGAGGATCTCGACTTGTCAAAAGTCATAATAATACACAGCAAGCTTATCCAATTAAATAGTTGCAGATTCTGCTATTGGCTATATTCCACGGTCCAATACATGCTATATGTAGGGCTCCCTACAGTCAGCTTTGAGTTCTTACGTGTGCACTAAGCTCCAGTTGTGTATAAAGTCCGGGGAAAAGTTAGATCATAAAGGTTTATTATACACAGTTTTATCCTATATTTCTACAAGAAGCTGTTTCCACGGCTTGAACCCGTAACCTTCAGATCACATGATATCAACTTTACCCGTCAGCTGGAGTTCTATTATCAAAGATTTTCAACGCTTTCTTAGCTAAACTATAAAAAAAGATAGTGTTAATGGTGAATGGAAAGGTGATTAATTAAATAAATTTCAGTTCTTGTTAAATAAATACTCCCCTCCATTTGCAACATTATCTAATGCAGTCTCGCAAGCAGAGTTTGAAAGAGTAATGTGTATTCAAATCTTATTACTCTTTTATAAAGGTAAAAAAAAAACTGATAAACTTTCAGCTCAAAAAAGACATTTAAAAATACTTCATTTCTATGCAGGTGCAATGTTTTTTTTTAGTTTGTTCAAGAATAATAACTTTTAAAATATGAAATGATTCAACTTAACTTTTACTCCTGCATTTTATGTTTAACAAAAAGTTTTTTCGATCATACAAATGTTATGAAAGGTTAATATCATATATTTAAATATTTTACAGTTATATAACTATTATACTACAATATATTTATGATCATAATATATAAAAGTTTTATTATGATATGTACCTATTTAAAATTTTGCCACATAAATATTGAAGCGAAGAAGATATACTGAGTGGTCCAGTCCTTTAACCTATTTTACTCCCTCTCTCTCATATTGTCAGATTAGGGCGACCAATAGTCAAAATCAGTTGTAGGGTGGGGTATAAATTTCCATTATCTCTATCATGTTGTTATTATAGGTGATTGGTTTTTAGTAAGTGTTGCAGCGATAAAACAGTTGTATTCTCCCAAAAACTTGCTCCGATCCCCTACCGACCGAAGTCGGTCGAAAATGTTCAATTGATTTTCCAAAAATTTAATTTACCGACCGATTACGGTCGGAATTGAACAATTTTTAAAAAGATGAATAATTAAAATTCCATCTGAAGTCGGTCACTAATTTAAATATTATTTTCAAGAATACCGATCGAATTCGATCGGTAAGTTTATTTTGTGTCAGATTATTTAGTTAAAGTGCGTTGAAAATTACCGACCGATTTCGGTCGGAAATATCTATCGTCTGCGGTCGCTCCCCATTAGCGACCATTTCTTTTTTTAAAAATCGAAAATGATCGAAAATTAGTCGGTTTTTGTTCGATTCCGACTGATTTTAGTTTTTTTTGGATGTTTTTTGCCAGTTTTTTAGTAGTGTTTTTCCAAAAATGCCTTTAATATGATCATCTCTAATATGATCTTCTCGACGATAGAGGAAAATTTTCATTTTTAGAGGAGGGGTGATTACAACTTCTTTTCATGTGAGTTTCCGAGTCTATGAAAACAAAAGGTGATTGTAGATCGATCGGTAATCAATTAATGGTTATGCACTACATGAAAAAAGCTATAAAATTAAAGATGCTGGTACATGAGGTGTGAAAATTAGAATAACCAGTAAATAAAAATAATAGACTTGTAATCATGCAATTTTAAGAGTAATGTTGCATTTCTTTTTTCTTGAATGGAGTTCTCCACTTGGAAAAGTTGTAATGCCTATTGCATAACGAAGGGAAGTTAAAAAGTGACAACGCAGCTAAACCAATTCTTCGAGCTTTTGAACACTGCAGGAAAGATTTAAAAATTTACCTTCTATTTTAAAAACCTTAAAATTAGAAATAGCGCTCCTCTAATTGTCAATACATGCCATGGTCACTTATTTCACTCTATATTTTAATGTCCGTACGTAATAAAATATAAAAACAATAGGTTACAATAATTGAACTACACATGTATCACAATAGATAAATACGATCAAAAAGATATAATGAAAGCAAACAATAAAATTTGAAGTGTTCCGAAAGGTGACCCAACCCAAATTTATGGAACTAAGCAAGGTGATGGTAGAGGTGGGGTCATATTAAGTAGGACCCATGCATGCATAAAGGCCCTACGTTGAAATTTCTTCCTAAGCTTTTTATTCATGATTTTCAGGGATATACAATTGAAATATCTAGTGAAACATCTCCCCAAGTGCTATTAGGTGCATGTTAATCTGTTGATAATACGGAAGATGCAAAGGCGAATATAACATGGTCATCTATGTGCATTCTTTTTTCTTCTCACTATTTCTAATTTCTTGGAACAATCTGCCTTGCTCTCAAAAACTCTATCCCTTATTCTGTAAGCTACTTAGGAGGGAACATTCATGGCTAATTCAGTCCATTTTTCATTCCTTTCTATTATCATCTCTACTACTTATGGACCAAAGGATATGTTCAACTGAAATGTTCTTGTGTAGCTGAAATTATATTTCTGCATTTGCTTTCTTGCTTCTGCTTCTCTATTAGTAGTGTTGACCTTGCTAATGAACATCTACTCCCTCCGTTCCAATTTATGTGAACCTGTTTGACAGGGCACGAAGTTTAAGTAAAAAATGAAGACTTTTGGACTTTGTGGTCCTAAACAAGTCCAAATGGGGCCCAAAGTATTTGTGTGGTTATAAAAGCTTTTCATTAAGGGTAAAGTTGTAACTTTAAGCTAAATTGTTACCAAATTTAGAAAGGGTTCATTCTTTTTGGAACGGACCAAAAAGGAAATAGGTTCACATAAACTGGAACAGAGGGAGTATTTATTGAATCTATTACTTAAATGGTCACTCAACTATCCAAAATTATCTAGATGATCGTTTGTAACAAAAAAGTCACTTAACTACGAGGGTGTTTAGCTATAAGCTGATCAAACTGGCTTATAAGCTGTCACGACCCGAAATTCATTAAATGTTGTGATGGCGTCGGACACCACAGCCAGGCAAGCCAACACCAAATAATTAGTAAATTCTCATTTTAATATTTCTGAAATCATGAATTTCCTTCAATTTAACTGGTAAAGATGAACTTTACAAAATAATAATAACGTTTTCCAATTTCAATATTAAGTATCCCATAATCATCCCAGAACCCGGTATCACAAGTGCATGAGCATTTTCTAAGGAGTAAAATAAAATACAACAACTGTCCGGAATACAATTTTGGACAGAAAAGAAAATACCAATACTCTGAAGGAGACTCTACTGGCTGTGGATTATACATAAGATGTAGCTCGCCTAAGTTCCCGTGTCAACCACGCCACTGCATCCTCAAGGCCACTAAATGTATATATGCATGTACAACAAAATTTACAGCAAGTGTAATATGAGTACGAAAACAACGCGTACTCAGTAAGTATCCAGTCTAACCTCGAAGAAGTAGTGACGAGAGCCCAACTCTGACACTTACTAGTGGTCCAACG